AAAGTACAATATAATATATGTTTTTTAATTTTTTATTAAAAATATAAAAAATTAAAAAAATACTATCCATAATAAATTTTATAATAATTAATATAAATCAAGTGCATTTTTATTTTTTAAATGATTTAATTTTTGAAAGATAAAAGATATAACATGGGATAAGTTGAGTACGGATGACCATATTTTATTTCTCATGTTTTATTAGCTTTTGATATTCAAGTAATTGATTTTCTAATCTCAATTATGGAAGATATAGATGAACTAGTATTGATGAAAAATAAATTTGACTGACAACTTGTGAAATGTAATAGATAAGATTTAATTATTGTAAATATATATTTTTTGATGATTTTTTTTTTTAATTTTGTAATTCAAATGTAAATTTTTAGTAGATAAAATTTAATTGTTGTAAATGTGCACTTTTGTATGAATTTTTTTAATTTATAATTAGTTCATAAATATTTTTTTAATTAATATTAGAATAAAAATATTATTTTAACTTATTTTATTTATTTGTTTAATTAATATAAATATTAATAATTTTTAATTTTATGAATATTATATAAATTTATTTTAATTTTATTTTAATTTACTTCCGATTAATCCGAAATTGAACCCGTAGGAAATTTATTGACTTTGCTGGTTGGTTAAACCCGGGCGGGTTTAAAATCCGGGGGGATCAAACCTGGTCGATCTCCAGTTTCTCAGAGGAAAAAACAAAAGCAGCAACCACGCCATTTGTGATTCTTGGCAGAGCTCAAAGAAATGCGATCGGAGCCTCCAACGTTCCAGGAAGCAGCTCGTTGTGACGTCTGCAAATGCAGCTTCAACACCTTCAGGCGACGGGTACTTTTATTTATTTATTATTCCCAGTTTAGATTTAACTTAGTTGTCGATTTAAATCATATCATTCAATTTATCAAAGACGCTTCAGTTTCTTTGTTTTTTAAATAAAGAAATTTTAGATTCAGGTGATGTCGCTCTGTATTTGTCGATCAGTTAACAGTCTATTGTCGAGAATTGCGTAACATCAGTTGGTGATTTAGATTCATTTGCTTTGATATAAACGTTAATTTATTGATCCAAACTAATTGATGGGAATACAGGCTTGTTCAGGAGTGAGCTTACAATTTTGTTCAAGTACGTTAATGTTAATATTCTCTTATTGGTGTATTCTTGGATTATTGTCAGTAATCAATGCGCATGGAAGAGGTCCTTCATTATAGTATCCGCGTAGATTACCAATTGGCTGCATGTGATTGTTCAGATGGTGGGAATTTGCATTTGCTGGGGCATTAGAGCATATAAATAATTTTTATCCAACTAGAAAACCAATAAATTGAGTACTTTAAGAATGAAAAGCTAGTGAACTCTCTTTCTCTGTGTCTGTCAAAGAAAAAAAGAAAAAGAAAGGAAAGCAAGTGAACCATATTTATCAACTTCCTTTTTGCTTTGGCAGAACGTGGGTAAGTGTTTTGAATTGAAGAGTTGTGCATAATCTTTTCTTTTTGGCATAATTTTGTTAAGAGTGTCTAGAACACATGCTATGTTTATAGGCATATCTGGAGGTTCTTCATGATATTGATGCATAATTTTCCCTTTTTATTCCAAAAAACTGATGCACACTAGATTCCAAGTGCTAATTTCTCCTGACGCATATTGAGCTACATTATACACTTCCTGTATAGGCACTAATTCTCTCTCTCTCTTTTTTATGCAGCATCATTGTCGATGCTGTGGGAGAACATTGTGCCATGAGCATTCATCAAATCAAATGGTTTGAGCTTTCTCTTTCATTGTATTAGCTTTCAAATGTAAAAGTCATGCATTAGTTGCAACTTTTCTGCTGGCTAAACTTCTGCTAACCAATTCTGTGCTGTCTTTTCTATGCCAAAATTCAGGCTTTACCTCAGTTTGGCATTCATTCTCCTGTTAGAGTTTGTGCTGATTGTTTCAATAACTCCTCACGGTAAATCTCTCCCAATAGATTACTAGTCTTTTCTTTTGGGGAATTTGGCTAAACTAGTGAATCTCATTCAAAATTGGTACAATCTGCATATGTAAGTGTTAGAACTTTCTTTGTTTGAAAATGATGTCTTCTTCGAATTGCATTTTTTTGGTTTTTTATAATAAAAACAGAAGTAATAGTTGAAAGAAAAGGCGAGTTACACAAGAGGAGTACTAGTGCTTTTACAACCAAAACCAAAAAGAACAAAAATAAAAAAAGAGAAGAAAAGGTGAAACTCAATAAATGGCAACTGATTAATCACTCTGCAAGTTAGATAAAGAAAAGTCCTTAAAGAGTCCATCTGTTTTAACCTAAAAAGGCACCAAAAAAGTCATCTTGTTCCATAGGATCACAAGGTAAGTAATAATCCTAAGGTTCCTAGCATTTCTATCCAATCACAACATCCATAACCCAACAAATAAAGCCCCTCAGCACAACAATATATCATCCTTTCTCCAACCAACACCTTTATGTGAATAAGATATAAAACACTCAAGATTCAAAGGAAAAATCAATAAACACCAAACCTATCAAATAAGTGGGTTCAAAGTGTTCAAGCGATAGGACAATGCAGGAAAAGATGACCGTGGGCCTCCACATCTCTAAAACAACATTTAATTAGATTTAAAAAATAATACGACAACTTCTCTCAACCTTGAGTTTCAGTTGTTCTTCATGCCTTCTAATTAATTAAGACTGTTGTTTCTATTGGAAACAGTATTGCGAAGCTCTTAGTTTTGACAATAGGCAAGGATTTTGGATTACATTAAAATAAAGACAAAATACAATTTTTAGGAGATGGAAATGGTATTCCTTTTTTTAATGGTAGTTTTCTAAAATAGCTAATTCAAAGGACCTAGAGCAATTAGGCCTCCATATTATCTCTTGAGACTAAGAATGTAGATGGAATGTATATCATGTTAGAATTTTCTCGCACTAAGCTTTTGAGGAATACCAAGGTTAGTTCGTGCTTGGGGGTAAGATATAGTTTATATCATGCATCCTAGTTGTTGACAAGACTTAATATCTCTCCTATTATATAGAAGGAAAATAACCATAAGTTGGATATAAATAACGAGGGAAAAATATGGCCTAGCATAGACCAAGATTCATGGTGTTCTAAACACATATGTGAGCGTGCTTGCTCTTGGTGTTGTTTGATCTTCATTTATGTCTATCTTTCATTATATGTGTTATGGAAAGAAAAACTTCTACTTTGATTGAAAAAAATGTTTCTATTATTTTATGGTATACATCCTGTGTAAATCAATATTTTGAGAAATTGGATACTTATTCCTTCTTGATGCTCTTCTTATCCCTTAAAAAATAAGCTGGTGCCTTATCCACCACTTTATTTTTTTTGGACTATTTGGAGAGAACAAGATAGAATAGTGTTTGAAGGCCTTGTATGTAATTTAATTTTTTAGGATAAGGGGTTGCTGGTTCTTGGACAGTGATCGAGGGTAAAAGGGCTGGGGGAAGGGAGTATTGTCCTCTCTCCCAAGAAGAAATGCTTATATAGCATATACGTAATATATTGTGATAGCCACCCTTCCTTTTTTCAAGAAATATCTAAATGGCCTAGTTGCTATATGTGTATATGTTATGATTCTGGGATCATGATCTTGTCATCCGGCAGTTAGCAACAAAATCATCTTCTAATAAAGAATTAATACCCTTGTTCTTATTGCGATAGCGATTTATTTTGTGAAAATAAATTATAACTCATCAAAGGGAGCTGTTATTTTAGATCTCGTTAGAGAGAGCTCTAATATCGTAATTTAAAATAATATTATGACTTGTTTTTATTAATAACAAGCATATCTTTTTATGTAAAGGTTACAATTTTTATTTAAAAATTTTAATTTAATTAGGAATTTAAATTTAATTAGAAATACTGTACTAAAATATTGAAAATCCTATACTATTTAAGAATCCAATACTAATGAAAAATTACATATTATTTAGAAATTTAATACTAATTAGAATTCCAATTATTTAAAAATCTAATACTAATTAGTATTTCATATTTAATTAAATTTCACTCTCCTATTTAGTTGTTGTCTTGCATTTTATTTTTATGCCTTACAAATGTGTTCATAACACTACTCCCCTCCTGGTCATCAAGTTTGAAGTATGGATATAGCTGATTCATTGGTCTTTTCTTGTTGTCCAATGTCGCATTCAATCTTGAGCCAGAATAGCTTTTTACATCGGTGACCCAAAATAAATGGCTCATCGCAGTTATAACCTAACCCCGTTAGTCTCCTTTTTGCCATCTATGCCATTGTTAGTTTCTTTATAATTGGAGAGTAAACGTTAAAAGATTGTGTCGTAATGTTGTTGCCATGTAGAACTGGTGTTTTTTGAATTGAATTGTTAAGTTTGGTCACAGATAGGTTACTATAATTGCATTTGGGCATTGACCCACAACTGTTGTTTCCTTTCAAAAGCTCTGCCCATGCTCATTGCATGCACAGGAGTGGCGAGTGATTGCATCTCGACCTTTAAACGGAAACAATCGATCAGTCTTGCTGTGAACAAACTTGCATGTTGATCAATTCGGACGAATTTGTTTGCACTTATCAGTTTTTCTTGGAACTGTCTCTGGTAGTTCTCAACCGATCTTATTTGTTTCAAATTTACTAATTCTCCCAACGGGTTACTTCCAACTGGCGGCCCAAATCTCATAAAACAATAATATTTGAATCTAGTCCAGTTGAGTGTAAGTTGTTCATATTTTAATTGGTGGTACCAAAATTGTGCCTCTCAAAGCATGTGGAAGGCAACCAATCCCACCTTAACTTATTCCGGTGTGTGTTGGTTGATAAATGTTTTTTCAAATCGATGCAACCATATTAGGGGATCTTCAGAGCTGTCAAACATTGGACAGTCTAACTTGGTATAACGAGGAACAACTCCATTAATTGGAGGATTGTTCGCATTCCATGATTGACTTCCAGTGTGAAGCGCTTGAGATGGCTGCTCCCAGGGGTGGTTGCTGCTTGCAGTCCCTTCTGATTCTATTTGTCTGTCATGATTAAAGCTGACAACATCTCTTTGAATTGTGAGGATAACTCCTATAATTGGCTGCTCAATCATCTTTCAATCTCGGCGATCCGTGCTTCATTTGTGGTCTGGGCTTCTTGGAGCATCAATCGCAAATCTTCGTTTGTTGCAGAGTCACTCATTGTATCAGATTCTAATACTAATTTATTATGATTTTGGGATCAGGATCTTGTCAGTGGGCGGTTAACAACAAAGTCATCTTCTACAAATGGTTAACATGCTTGTTTTTATTGCAAAAGCGACCTATTTTGTGAAAATAGATTACAATTCATCAGATGGAGCTGCTACCTTGGATTTTATTAGAGAGAGCTCTAATCTCGTAATTTAAAATAATATTTTGGCTTGTTTTTATTAGTAGCAAACATATCTCTTTAAATAGAGTTTACAATTTTTATTTAGAAATTTTAATTTAATTAGAAATACTCAACAAAAATATTGAAAATATTATAATATTTAGTAATCTAATACTAATATTATTCAGAAATCTAATATTAATTACAATTTCAATCTTTTAGGAATTTAATACTAATTAGAATTCCAACTATTTAGAAATATAATACTAATTAGCATTTCATATTTAATTAAGTTTCACCCTCCTATTTAGTCGTTGTCCTACCTTTTATATTTATATCCTACAAATGCGTCCATAAAAATATGTGTATATATATTATCTAAAACTATTTTTTAAGAGTATATTAACCTAAAAGTATATAGCATTAAATAAAATAGATTTCCTTTTATCATACTATCATCTCTCTAATTTTCTTAATTAAAAATGTAAAATATATTAAATATAATAAAGAATTTGTCTAATCGCTTATTTTTGTCGATTTTCCCGTACATAGTTTTTATGAATAAAGTTTGATATGAAATTACTGATTAACAATTAAAATGATATTAGATGTAATCATGATTCATCATAAAAGAGTAAAAGAATAAATGATATGAACAAAATAATTATCTAGTAATTAAAAAGAAAAGATACAATTAACATTTACCTCGCCATGGATAAAACTCCTAATGGTTTTCTAGTTATGTTTCTAAAAATTGTTGGGAGGTCGTGAAATGAGATTTATCAAAGGTTTTCCAGGAATTCTTCTTGAATGCCAAGATCGGAACCAACATAAATTCCAACTTTTTTTATTATGATTCCAAAAAGGGGCTGCTCTATAAAGACCATGGATTTTTCACCTATAGCCCTTTTGAATAATTTTATAAGATCATTGCCAAGGTTTTTATCTTTAAGATTGAGAACAGTCTTTGTGGATACTATTCCCTCTACCAAAGTGGCTTTGTTGCTTGTAAGCAAATTCTTGATGGGTTCATGATAGCTAATGAATTATAAAAAGGTATCAGAGAAGAGACGGAGAGCCCTGTAAAAGTTAGG